TGTGTGTGTGTGTGTGTGTGTGTGTGAGAGAGAGAGAGAGAGAGAGAGAGTATACAACAAGGGTGAGTCAAAAATTATCCACACTCTGGCTGTAGAATTTTTTAATCAACTTTTAGAAAAGACAAATACATCATTTTTTGACATAATCTCCTTACTTTAAAATACACTTTGTCCATCTGTCAACAAGCTTTCATATTCCCTTATTAAAAAAATGTTTTAGACTGAGGTGGGAGCCACAAATGCACCACTCTCTTTACTTTTTCATAGAGGTGAATCTTTGTTCTCAAAAGGCTACTTTCAGGGGACCAAACAAGTGATAGTCCAGTGGAGCAAGATCAGGACTATAGGGAGGATGTTTTAACACCTCAAAGGTTTTGCAGAGTGTCAACAATGTGGGCAGAGATATGTGGACATAGATCATCATGCAAGATCTCAACACCCTTGAATTGTAGTACTCTGCATTTAATCCGAAGTTTAGGTTTCAGCTCTTCAGGGAGCATCTTGTTGTAATGAGCACTGTTGATTGTTGAACAATTTTCCAGCTGATAGTTGACATTTGAACTTTTTCTTACTCAGCAATTGAGAATGTTTCTATTCCATACTCTTGTTATTTATTCTCAAGCTCATAGTGATGAATCCATGTCTCATCACCAATAATGATTTTTTCAAGGGAACTTTTACTTTCCTTTGGGTATCAGTTCAGATTTTGTTTGCAGATGTCCACATTCACACCTGCACAGCAGCGACCTTTAATGGAAAGCACTGTTAAGACAGTGTAGCCAATAGAAGTTTTAATATAACTGGAGTGTGGATAATTTTTGACTCACCCTCATACATACATTTGTAACATTTACATTCGGAGAATATCTTATAAGCCTAAACTTTCCTGAAAGCTATGTTTTGTATTTGAGGAGTTTTGATTTTAATTTCCTTAAAAGCACCATCTCTTGAATTCTAACAAGTTAGAGATTCTATAGGATTCTGTTTTTTCACTCCAGCCTGTAGTTTAAAATAACTGCCTTGAACTAATACTAGAATGATTCTACAAAGTGCTTATGTGTTTTCTTGCATCTGAAGTCTAGAGGATGTTTGGAAAGGATTCAAGAATTAGAGGACTTGCTTGCTAAAGAAAGAGACAACTCTCGTCGCATGCTGTCTGACAAAGAGAGGGAGATGGCGGAAATAAGGGATCAGATGCAGCAACAGCTGAGTGATTATGAACAACTTCTTGATGTAAAGTTAGCTCTGGACATGGAAATAAGTGCTTACAGAAAACTCTTGGAAGGCGAAGAAGAGAGGTAAGGAGCATATCATCTAATGTTAACCCCTACCATTTTATTTAATATATGCATATGTATGTGTGTATATATGGTTGTTGTGTTGTTAAGTGCCGTCGAGTCGGTTCCGACCCATAGCAACCCTGTATAGGGTTTCCGAGGAGCAGCTGGGGAGCTTGAACTGCCAACCTTGCAGTTCAAATGGCGCATTAACCCACAGTGCCACAGTGTGTATATAACCCACCTTATATACATATACACACACACATATATTAAATAAATATTAATATGTGTGTGTGTGTATATATATATATGTGTGTGTGTGTGTGTGTTTCTTTTAAAAATACATAGGAAATTTTTATTATTTTCTCTACAATTTCTTTTCAAATCTAGTAGGTGTTGTTAAGTGCTGTCAAGTTGGTTCAGATTGATAGCAACCCTGTATAGGGTTTCTGAGAAGCAGCTCATGGATTTGAACTGCTGATCTTATGACTTGCAGTACAGTGCTGATTCTACAGTGTCACATCAAGTGTAGAGGTAGTAATAAAAATTATACGTTATTTCCAACAACAGAAAATGTTGCTAAGAACATATTGTTGCTATTAAGTAAATATTTTACTCTGACAAGATGCTGTCTTCTTAAGAGATTTTAAATATTTTGGTAAAAAAAACAAATGTAATTCAAAGAAATTTTGTATTTATATGTCTTTTTCAAATCTGGTTAATGTATAAATCGTTTTAACCTGATCCTCAGAAAAAGATCCAAAGACAAAGTGGCTGATGCAGAATAAAAAAAGCCAATCAATTTCAGTATGAAGAAAAAAAAGGATGGTAAATATGACAGGGGTTGTGATAGGGTGGTGGTAATCAGATGATTATTTCCCCTACTATAGTTTTCATATTTCCTCTATTGTGGTTAGTCTAGTCTTAGGAAGAATATTCAAGTTGTTTTCTTGAAGAAGATTCATGGTGAACATCCTAGCATAAATTTATCTTAGTTAGATAAGAATTAGTTAATTAGTAATTATTATTATTGGCTTTGTCTAGCATATTTTCAGTAGTGTTTTGCTTAACAAATACATATTCTGTTGTTACAGTTTATTAATACGCATCTCTTTTTTTAAGTTAGGAATGGCATATGTTTTTCATAAACTGAATGCTGTATTTTCCCATTTAGGTTGAAGCTGTCTCCAAGCCCTTCTTCTCGTGTGACAGTATCACGAGCCTCCTCAAGTCGCAGTGTTCGTACAACTAGAGGAAAGCGGAAGAGAGTTGATGTGGAAGAATCTGAGGCAAGCAGTAGTGTTAGCATCTCTCATTCCGCCTCAGCAACTGGGAATGTTTGCATTGAAGAGATAGATGTTGATGGAAAATTCATCCGCTTGAAGAATACTTCTGAACAGGTAAAAAAAATATACGTCCTTTTTTCCCAGCAAGCCTTTGTAGATTGATGGGTTATCTTGCAATTTTAGTAACTCCTTAGGAGTTGTTGCATGGCGCTGTAGGATAAAGCATTGGACAGCAAGGTTAATTCGAACTGCAAGATCAGTGGTTTAAACTCATCAGCCACTCCTTGGAAATCCTATACAGGGTTATGAGTTGGAACCATCTGGTTGGCACTTAACCACCACCACAACAACAGCCTTTATTTGGATTAACAGTCTTCATGGAATAAGTGTCTCCCTCCACCTTTTTACATAAATTCATGAAGCCACATGTAAGTTAAAGTAGGAGGTAGAGGAGATATACTGCCGTTGGTGGTTTAAAGATTTTGTTTATTACCCTTTTATATAGAGAGCTAAGACTTGTTTTCCCCACACTTGGTCATTTTGTCATGGTGGCCTTTCCCAAGGATGAATTACTATTAACTGCCAAAGTCATAGTTGTAGAAGAGTTGGCAGGGTGGGTGAAAACAATAGATATTCTTTTACAGTTCTTATTGTAATATGCTTTCTATGAATGGATAGAATTATGAGACTGGACTCAGATAGATGTGGGGGAATATTTTTCTCTATAAATAGAGGAATGAATAAATGATTGCTAAGAATTTATAGCAAGAAGAGTAAACAGGATTTTGAACTGGTTTAAGCTGGTTCAGTGAAGGCTGATGAAATTATAGGTGAACTGGAGTAATAATAGGAATGAGGAAAATTACGGACTGCAGCCCTGCGGGAAATTTAATTTCCCTTTAAGGTATCATGTACTGTGTAGAAGTCACCTCTGTTGCTGGTGTAGAGTGGGAAACAGTAGTGCCCAGCTCAAAGACGGCGACTGACTGTGTTACTTTGAAGGTGTTGCTCTTGTAATTTCACCAATAATTAAGTCTTCCACAACAGATTCCTGAAAGGGCTTACTATACCTCTTCCTAGGGCTTAGACTTGTAATTTTTTCCATTCTGATGATTGTTCCTGTTCAGGTTTCTGAATTTGTGCTTTAGCATCCTTGACCGAATTGTTTAGAAACCCAGGTTTAAAATTTTAAATATTCATAGCAGGCATTTCTGAAATTTCAAGCCATGGCTATCAAGAGCTTGGTTGGAAGGCCCTCCTTGGTTAAGTGCCATAAGACTAGTGGCTGGGAAGGGATGTGTGATGATAGTAGAGGAAAACTAGCTAGGTCTCTTTGGACCTGCAGTGGGGTGAATGTTACTTCCTGAAGCATATATTCAGGATCTGCCAAACCTTTGTGAAAGTCATTTCATTTCTCTCCAGAGTTATTAAAACTACATCACACATGGAAGAATAAGCACTTAGGATGGGCAAAGGAACACTAGCAGTTTGTTCTCGTAGGACATGCCCTCATACCACTCTTAGTTACAACTCTAAAAGCTAAGGAACACAGGAACCCCTAGTGCTCCATAGTTCCGGTCTTGGTGTTTTTCAGAAGGCATAGTGGCTCTGTATGGAACTATAATCTGGAACTGGCTCTCAACCTGTTTTATTCTTGTCTTTGACTTAGAAAGGCATAATAATTAGTGTAGATAATTGCTTTAGTATCCTGCTCAAATTCCAGGTGGCTCTGGTAAGTTTTAGGGCCAGAGTTGATCACTATCACCTACAGCTAGTTCATTGCATCATTAACCTTGCTTGAGCCCGTTATGCTTTAAAAGAGCTAAATTTGTGCAGAGGTGGTACAAATGCTGAACAGATTTTTCTTCCTTCTGTTCTTTTCTTATATGTCTAATCTTATATGTCTCTATTTTTAACGTTTAATCTAATAATAGATTATTAGGATGATAACAGCTAAATGTGTTTGTAAATTTCACAGACCCACCTTATCAGGCAGTGAATTTGATCATTTAATTTGGCTCACAGCCTTTCTTCTAGTTTTGTTCTCTTTAAAATTAAGTGCCATATTAACTGTATTTTTATTGACGTTACTGTTTTGTTGAATCACAAAAATCATATTTTCTTTGTGGAAATTCAAACAGAAAACCATGTCAATTTAACTGCATGTGTGGATTCATTTGTTCTGTTATTCTGTAAGCTGTATATTTGAAGTGACCTTGTTTTACTTTGTTCTGTGAATAGGATCAACCAATGGGAGGCTGGGAGATGATCAGAAAAATAGGAGATGCATCAGTTACTTATAAATATACCTCAAGATATGTGCTGAAAGCAGGCCAGACTGTTACAGTAAGTGAATTTAGTCATCTTTTAATTTAAATTTGTTTTAACAGATATAAAATAGCATAAAAAAATAAAAGGTATCTTAAAGAGGAGCATTTCAGAAATGGGCATTTAAAATGTCTGAACTTTTTAGGGTATTAGGTATAAGGAGCTCTGGTAATGTAGTGGTTATGAGTCAGGCTGCTGACCTCAAGGTCAGTACTTTGAAACTACCAGCTGTTCCTATTCTGTGGGAGAAAGATGAGGCTCTTTGCTCCTGTGAAGATTTACAGTCTCAGAAACACTATGTTGTTGTTAAGTGCCATCGAGTCAATTCTGACCCATAAACACTCTGTATAGGGTTTCCAAGGAGCAGCTGGTGAGCTTAAACCACGGACCTTGCAGTTCAAACGACTTTGCAGTCTGACGCGTTTATCCACGGCACACCACCACCACCAAAAGTGCTGTTAAAAATTGAAAAAATTCTTTTTTATTCAGAGTAGTAATTGACTTATTATTTTGTTTTATTTTATTTCTTCAAGTAGATATAAAATAGCTATCTGTTGACTAATATTTGTAGCCCAGTCTAATTCAGAAGATACTGCTTGGCATAGAGATTAGGAATATAATCTGTTTCACACTAGTACATGCTTTAAAACTGTGGCTTTCAACCTTGGGTTAGCATCAAAATCAGCCTGGGGTCCACCCTGAACTTAGCCAATCACTATTTCTGAGGTTGGGGTATTGGCATCTTTTGAACAAAACCCTTTAGGTGATAGGCACTCTGTATAGAATCAGTGCTGTGAAACGTAATATCTTAGCAAGAATTATTTTTTTAGCAAAAGATGTAGTGTTTGCACGATATTTAAGGTTCTAGATTTAAAGAAAAATGGGCCGTATGGAATTCTGTTTTGAGTTCTGACTTGAGGTGTTCTGAAATACCCCGTTTTTAATAGATTCTGTTAGCTAGATATCCTGGTGTGGCACTGGACTGCTAACAGCAAGGCTGGCAGTTCAATTTTACCAGCTGCTTCTTGTAAAGCACCCTATACAGGGTCACTACGAGACAGAACTGAGTTGACGGCACTTAACAACAACAAATACTATTAGCTCACTTTGATAAAAATGCTTCATTGAGCAAACGAAAGCTTCCTTTGTTTTCTTAAGTAAAGATTTCAGAGAAGTGACAGTTTTCATTCCTGAAAACTATAGATGTGTGATGGTCTCCTTCATTCTTGGATTCTTTATTAACCACATATTAAAGTTTATGATTGATACACTCCTTAATTGCTTAAAATCAAAGAAAAGCAAAAGGTTAGAAATTCTCAAAAAAAGGTGTATTCAGAGAAATTGATGCCACTTTTTGAAAATATCAGATGCTAATTTTGTAATTATGGGTAATAAAATGGTTACAAAAATCTTAACTACATTTTTCTTCCTTCTCTTAGCAATCATTATGTTATTGTTAAGTGCCGTCGAGTCGGTTCTGACTCTTAGTGACCCTATATAGGATTTCCAAGGAGCAGCTGCTGAGTTTGAACCCTGAGAGAACATTGCTCAGCTTATTATGCTTCTTATGGAGTTGTATAATGTTGGGAAAAACCTGCCATTTTAATTCAGAAGATTCCAATTTGAGGATGCTCTCCCTCTTTCTAATGTGAAACCATTATACCAGTCATCTGAATTAATTTTAGTACTGTATTTTATTTAGCCCAGTATACTCAAAATATTATATAAGCATGTTATCCATGTAAAACAAGTTACATTTTAATTTTTGAAATCTGATGTGCATTTTACCGTTACTTTGCATTTAAATTCAGACTATCCACATTGTTAAATGCCATCGAGTTTGTTCTGACCCATAGCGACCCCGTATAGGGTTTCCAAGGAGATGCTGGTGAGCTTGAACTCCCAACTTTACAGTTCAAACGGCTTTGCAGTCTGGTGCATTAACCCACACCGCCACACCAGAACTCCACATTACAAGTGCTTAAATACCACCTGAGGCTAGTGGCTACCATATTGAACAACACAGCTTTGTAACATATTTTTAAACTTTAGGCTAAATTAAGCAATATGGGTGTGCCGTGAGACGGTTCTGTCTCATAGCGACAATGCATAGGGTTTCTGAGGCTAAATCTTCATGGGAGCAGAAAGCCTCAGCTTTCTCCTGTGAAACAGCTGGTAGTTTCTGACTGCTGATCTTAAGGTTAGTAGCCCAACTTGTAACGACTACCCTACCAGAGTTCTTTAAGCAATAAAGGGTACTGACATTTTATGAATAATAGTATTAACACTAGCCATGGTATTTTCAATAACCTCATATGCATGTGAAAGCTGCACAAGGAATAAGGAAGACCTTAGAAGAATTGATGCCTTTGAGTTATGGTGTTGGAGGAGAGCATTGAAAGTGCCATGGGCTGCCAAAGGAACCAATAGATCCATTTTGGAAGAAGTGCAGCCAGAGTGCTCCTTGGAGGCCAAAATGGCCAAACGTCATCTCTCATACTTCAGAAATTCGCTGGAGAAGGATATCATGTTTAGTAAGGTGGAGGATCAGGGAAAAAGAGGAAGACCCCCAATGAGATGGGTTGGCCAAGTGGCAGCAGTGATGGACTCAAGCGTGGCAACAGTAGTGAGGTTGTCCCAGGATCAGGCAGTGTTTCATTCTGCTGTGCATAAGGTTGCTATGAGTTGGTACCAACTCAATAGCACCTAACAACAACAAGTATTAACACTAGAGACCTGGTGTGGCATGTAGGATAAACACTCAACTTCAAGAACTGCAAGTTTGGTGGTTCAAACTCACCAACTGATCTTTGGAGACCCTATACAGGGGTGGCTGTGAGTCGGGACCAACTCAACAGCACTTAACAACAAGAAGGATTAACACGAAAACAATGTTTCTTTATAAACTAGTGAAAACTTATACCTTGAAATTAGAAAAACATTAACATTCCAAGTGGTGGTTGTTAAGTGCCATTGAGTGAGCTCGGCCCATAGCGACCCTGTATAGGGTTTCCGAGGAGAAGCTGGTGAGCTTGAACTATCAACCTTGCAAGTGGTACAATCCTTTAATCTGAGAATTTGGTCACTTTTTTCTTTCCTGGTTTCATCTGAATAACTGCTCCTTGCTCCCTTCCATTTGTAATACTAATGCAGGAGACTTAGAAGCTTCAAATATCTAAAAAGTATTAAGGGTTCTCTCCTAATAATGTAATTGATAAGAATCTTTACCCCATGTTAAAAAAACACCTACTTACAGTCTTCCTTTTTCTATCACATAGTCCTTGACATTGTATAATAATCTATGTACTTTCATATGATCATTATAAAAGATTAGGGCTGATCGTATTATCCCTTCCAGCTAAGGAAATCAAGGCTTATAAGGTATTGTGTTTTGTCCAGGCTTCAAACCTAAATCTTCTGACTTCCAAATAGTTCCCGTGTCATCCATACCTTTCTGCCAGTAAATATGTGAAAAATACAGCAGGATTTTCTTTCTATTTACAGGTTCCATAATAATTGTGTTTTCTTTTGAAAGGTGGTGATTTATCCATTTTCTGAATTCTTTTTGGAACTAAATTTGACACACTCTGGAGTAGTGTGACATTGTCCCTAGTTGGAAACATAAAAGCTTCCATAAGAGTGTTCTAGATAGATTGTCTGGTGGAGGAGGTTTGAGAAATTAGTCATCATCTCAATGCCTGCTGTTGGCAGCTGGAAGACACTATTGGAGGGTGGGGTAGTCAGAAGACAATAACTCAAGGATGGCCCATAAGACTCAGAATAATGGTATGTGTAAAATGAGAGTAAATATTCATTGACTGAGTCAGCCCTTCTATGTGGGTTACTTTTCACAACAGTTCCACAGAATATATATACCATACACCATTACTGGCCCATTTTATGGAACAGGAAAGTGAAGTGACTGGCTTAAGATCAGCTTGCGTGAAGAAGAGCTGGTATTTAAAAATAGGTAGCTTCATTCCAAAGTCCTGTGTATCAGCATCTTCATTTATCAAATAGGGAAGTGAGGCCTTGAGAACTCTGAGTTCTCCTAGACACAACAACAATAGCAGGTCTGAAGCTCGGAAACAATGATCAGTCCTGTAGGATTGTCTTAAAAGTCTTACTCAGTGTTCAAGTGTCATCATTGTGTTGCTGTCTTTGGCATATGAGAGATCTAGGGTCCTGATGCCCTTTCCTTTTTTTCAGATCTGGGCTGCAAATGCTGGTGTCACAGCCAGTCCTCCAACTGACCTCATCTGGAAGAACCAGAACTCCTGGGGCACTAGCGAAGATGTGAAAGTTATATTGAAAAATTCTCAGGGAGAGGTAGGTCTTTTTATTAGTACCAATACAATGTCAACTTTGCCTGGAAGTTTGTTATGCAAGTGTGATTTTCTTTAAAAAATCAAACTGAAATAGGACGTAATGGTCTGCTTAAACCATACCAAAGCTGCTGAGTAAATTAAACCAAAGCTGTCTTCAAAATTTCAGAATGGAATATAAGTATGAACACTGATGGTTAGCATAATAGGTACCACAGTCAGATTATTTGCATTCAGTTCTGCCTCCACTGCATACAGGCTCTGTAACTTTAGGTAAGATTCTTCACCTTGTCTCAATTTTCCCACCTTAAAATGGAGATAATAATGTTAATAGATTAAATGAGATAGTCCTTGGTACACGGTTGTAATAATGCCTAGTCTCTAGGATTCACTCAGTTCAATAAATATTTATATTACTAACCTTGTTACTCATTCGCAAGAGTTCCTGAAGCTCTTGAGTTCAAAGATTGTGTAGTGTACATCTGCTTGGTGTGTATGCTTTCAACATCTCAGTCATAGTATTCTAGTCAAAGAGCTGTATTCCTTCCTCCTCCTCCCTTTGATAAAGCAAGTAAGTCTGTTTTGAAGCTACTAAATAATGGCTTCATCCGTATCTTTTTCAGCCTACTTCCCTTATGCAGATACCGTATAAAACATCCGTGAGCCCCTTTTTAGAATTTGAGAACTCTCCTTTGTTGTCATTGCAATAAGCATGTTAAGGGTGCTTCGGTGAGTTCAGAATGGTTTTCATTTTAGTCCTAATGCTGCTTCTGCATCCCTATGTGCCATGAAAAAAAGCCTCAAGTTGACTTGCCAAGGAAGCCATAGCTACAACCTTATTCTGATGTTCTTACTGGTTCTAACATTTTCACTCACCCTTTAGGGTGACAGACTCTACTGCTTCATAGTTTACAGCATGAACAGATACATACTTCAGTCAGTTATATGATAGGTGTTAGGCTAAACAATTTGGTAGATAAAGTTGCCAAACATATTTGTAAGTGCAGGGTTATTAATTTCCTTGGAAATGCCAGGTATCTGCTGTGTGCTTCTCAGCACTTTATACTAGGAATTTATATAGACGTGGTTTCTGGCCTCACGGGGCTTGTATTTTAGCCAAAGAATAAAACAGGAAATAATTTTTAGTAAATGCAACAAAGCAGATAAACAGGGGTGTGTTACAATCACCATTGAGATTTGCTGTAGACAGGCTGGTCAGGGAGGACCTCGCATCTGGTAACACTTGAGTATAAACTGTTGGTAAAGAGCCAACCATTTTGAGCGGTCAGAGAAAATATTCCCAAGGAGAGAGGGGACAGCAAAGGCAGGAAAGGAGTGTGGCTGACAGAAGGAGAGACCACTTAGGACTGTTCAGCAACAAAAAGAGCCCTGATTTGTAGCTTTTGCTCATTTTGGAGGTGTACACTCCCATCATGGCTATGTTCAGGCTTAGCCTACTTGGTATGACTGCAGAGTTGCAATGAGATGAACACAATTGCTGGTACAGCTTAGCTTCAGTGCACTACTGAATACATTAATGTACTTATATGCCCAAGACATTGAATGGGCCAGGCCTCTAGTATGTTTTATATAGAGAGTAAACTTGGTCATGTAAGACATTATGTGTGTCTTTTAGTGTTGAGGGAGTCCCTGATTGGTGCCTACAGTTAGCTCACTGCCGCTAACCAAACAGATGGAGGTTTGAGTCCACTCCTGAGGCACCCCAGAAGAAAGGTTGGCTGTGATTCACTTCCAAAAAATAAGGCTTTCAAACCCCATGGAATACAGTTCTACTCTGACACCATGGGGTCATCATCCTTCAGAATCAACTGTAAGAAGAAAGAAAAAAAAAATCCTCATTGTTGTTAAAGACATTTATGTTTTAGCTCCTTGATTAATACCAGTTTACTAAATATAAATCTCTCAACATCTTTTGGTCCTAAATAGATTTGTTTTATTTTTCTACTTAGATATTTAGACATTATTTTGTTCACTTATTTCCCATAGAGTCTTTCTGCATTAAAATAATTGGTTTTTTAATGTTTTCAAAAGAAATGTACTTAGCAGCAGGCTTATATAAAAGTTGCTGTATTACAGTAATTCATAATTAATGAAGTTGGGCAAGGTGCTGGCTTCCAAGCCTTCTCATGTGAGGCTAATAGTCTTAAATTACATCAGGAGTTCTAGGAGCCAGTGTTTGCTGTGGTGGCTACACCTACCGAGAACTGCTTTAGCTGCTATGTGGGAATTCCGAAACAGGTTTTTTTGTTGGCTCCTCTTGCCTCATTTGAGTTGAAGAAAAGGTACTATTAAAGCTTTTTGAGAATTTATTTTTCTGTTTTGTATGCTATCTTCCTGCAGTAGATACTTTCATTCAAAAACTAATTGATTCAAAGAATCACAGGCTTTTTTATCATTCCTAATTTGGTTATATTAGTATTTGGGAAATGACTGAGTCTGAAAACATAGGCTGATGTCACAGAATTGATGCTTCAGACTAATTGAGACTCAACACGACCATCTTCCTTGGTCCTACAACAAAAAATGCCACAAAGTTTCACTTATAAAACTATATATACATTTGGGCATACTGAAAATTGAAGTTTCATTTTTATGACACTGATTTTTATTTTCTTCCTCTGCCATTATAAACTAGCTGATCTGTATTATATTTCAGATAAGCTTTTGCTGAAGTAATTTTAATGTTTTCCTCTGTGGAGTTATCTTTCTTGAGTGACCTTAGGACACGGTACAGAATAAAATTAGATGCTTTGCTGCACTCTCTAGGACAAACTCATTTACTTGCTGCTACCTCATTAGGTTAGCCTTGTGCTTATAAATTATAAACAAAAACGCTTGCATTTGTGCCACATCAGCAGCATTCTCTACAGAAAAGTAATCTGTACTTGAGCTTTTTAGTAGAAAATGGAGACAGTTATTTTCTGTCCTACCTCCTGTGAATGATAGTATGGCAGAATACATTGGAACTAAAGTTCTAGTAAACGGTGCTCATGTGTCTTTTATTCCATTTCACTGAACCACTTGCCCCTTCCATCTCTTCAAGTGGTCATGTTGCACTGAGGTCCAAGAGGCCACAACAGTTAGCTGCCAGCTGAAGCGAAATTCATGTTGAATTTAAGTGTGCCAAATCATTTGCGGAATTCTTAGTAACAGAATGGGATTTAAAAAACAAAACAAAAAAAACCAGTGGAAACTTCTCAGCAGGTATTTTAAATTGGATGCCAGTAGCTCCCCTGCAGGGAATATTGAGGATCTAAGAACTGCTAGGAATTATGCAAAAACTCTGTTCAGTAGCTAAATCTGCTGATGGAATGACTTTTTAATAAAAACAGCCGTTGATACAGGAATGCAAAGAAAAGGTCCACCTCTTGAACAGCCTGTATGATTTCCAAGTATGGAGTTTTGTTTAACACAAACAATGTGTTTATTATGAAAAATAGCGTTTCCAGCCAAAGCAAAACAAAACTTAATAAGAAGAGCTACATTGTTTTACATTTTTGCAAATTTCTTTTCTTGTCGGCCTTCATAGAATACGTCTGAAATCTCATACCTGCTTCTGCATTCAGTCTGTTGCAGTGTGTAGTTTTGATTGCAGTACATGAACAGAACCTGATCTCATACAAACATGTAGTTAGTTGGAAAGGGGAGTTTTTTTTTTTTAAAGTAGTGTAAGTGTGATTTTAACTTAAAATCAAACTAACATTGTTTTTAGGAGGTTGCGCAAAGAAGTACTGTCTTTAAAACAACTATACCTGAAGAGGAAGAGGAGGAGGAAGAAGCACCTGAAGTGATTATAGAGGAAGACATCTTTCACCAGCAGGTATTACTTTACTTAAACATAATTGTTTTAAATTTTATTAACGGCATTACTTGAAAATTAAAGCCAGTAGTATAGGGGTGATTTTTGCCTTATTAATGAATTCGAGCAGTGTTATACCAAGTGAGGTTTGTGCTTCCAAGGAGATGTGCAAGATGGTGATAGTACTTTAGAAAGAAAATGTTAGGTTTTTTTTTTGGTATCATGTTGTGAAATTTCAATCTTGTCTTTTTTAATGTATATAGTACAATATTATTGTAATATAAATAAGTACATATGAATTAGAGTGTTGTTGTTAAGTGCCGTCAAGTCGGTTCCAACCCATAGCGACCCTGAACAGGGTGTCCCAGGCTGTAAATCTTTATGGGAGCAGAACGCCTCATCTTTCTCCTACGGAACAGCTGGTAGTTTCAAACTGCTGACCTTGTGGTTTGCAGCCCAGTTTGTAACCACTACGCTACCTGAGCTCCTTATGAATTAGAATACATGCCCCCCCAATTTTTTTATAGTATTGTTTTGTGATTAAAAATTGGACTTTGCTAAATTAACACATAAACTTAAAGAGTAATATTCAACTTCAATGAGAAACAAATTATTTACTTGCTGTATTACGTTCCTAATTATTATCTAATTGCAAGGTAGATTTTAGCTGGTACTTGGGGCTTTTAAATTAGAATTATTAATAACGAATTGGTCTTCCATTTATATTCTCAAGCTGTTTATGTCAGATCATTAATCAACATTCCTTCCTTTTAAATTTATGTCCTAGATGCCTTCTCATATATTTTAGAGTAAGATTTAAGAATAGAAACTTTAGATGTGTAGTATCAGTAAGAAAATAGTGTGAGAACCATTTCCTGTCCATAAAGAGAAGTATTTCAATGACTGGAACTAAAATAACAGGCGATATCTCAAGATGCCAGACAAGTGGTTCAAAGCATGAGTTTCTTAGGGTAGTTGAGAAAATCTCTGGTAAATGATACTTGGCTGTAGTCTTGAATGCACAATTGTTGTTTTTTTTAAATGTTTTTTTGTGAATTATATATATGATAGTTTACATGAGAAAACTCATTTAGTTTTACATTCATTCTGTCGTGTATCGTTTCATTGCTATGGTTCCAATCCCCTCCATGCATCATCAACCGACCAAAGGGTATACCCTACAAACCCGCCCTCTACCTCCCCGCCCCCACCCCCAACAGTCCCTCTCCCTCTCTGGATCCAAAGCCCCCAGCCGCTTCATCACTCCACGTCATCATCTCTGCCTCTATCTCAGGCCTCGCTGCTTCTCTGGGTAGGGTCCCGCTCTGCTCTTGTCCGTTGATGGTCCTAGAGACCTCTGCTTCTAGACTAGAGAGTTAATCACTCCCTTCCTTGCTATAAAACATCTACCTTTACATTTCGAACCCTCACAATCAGTCCTGACAACAGTCATTCACTATTGTATCACAAGTGACCCTTCTGCATTTCATTTCATCAGCTCCGCCTAGACAGATTGGGTAGTACTCACTGGAGTTGAATGCATAGTTTTTAAATTGAGAACCCCAGTGTAGAATATCACTGGGCAAGCTGAATCAGAGGGCCTGCGCTAGAAGGGTGACTGCAGACACACTGAGGGTAGTATTTCAGTGGAGTGTTGAAAGCCTTACTGGTTAAACCGGAGGTGAGAAGGAAAAAAGAGAAGAAAAAAATGAGTTTTTTAGGACTTTTTGATAAGGGAAAAAAATTGGTACCAAGGTCCGTAAGATGGAAGGACAGATTAGTTTTGAGAGTGATCTTCAGATAGAATATGAATCCATGACTTTTGATGTGGTAGTAAGATGCCAGAATAGAAATATCTGCTAAGCAGCTAGAAATTGTCATGTTGGTAACTTTAGAATGTTATTGTTGCTAAGTGTTGTCGAATCGATTCCGACTCATAGCGACCCTGTATAGGGTTTCCAAGGAGCTATTGGTGAGCTTGAACTGTCGACCTTGTAGTTCAAACCAACTTTGCAGTCCAGCACATTAACCCACCAGTGCATTTTGCTGCCAGCAGAGAGAAGAGGATGTTGAGGCTGAGGGGTAGTTGGCAGTAGCAGTGTCAGATTCTTTAGAGAGTTCACAAAAGACAAGAATAAGCCTTTCAAGTTTACAAGGAAGTTTGGTGACCTTCAAGAGACCATGATCAGTCTAGTTGAGTAGTGAGTCACAAGTTATATTGTGAGGTTTTAAAGAATTGTGTAGTGCCGTTGAGGTGGTTCCAACTCATAGGGATCCTGTATAGGGTTTCCAAGGTGTGACTGGTGTGTTTAAACCACCCACCTTGCAGTTGGCAGTCCAGTGCTTATCCTACAGCACCACACTGGGAACCCATTTAAGGAATTGATGAGTGACAAAGAAATGGACACAGGTGCCACTTTGATTTCACAGTCAAGGATGAATCCAGTGCATTTGTGGACTTTCACAGTCTAGCAAGCTGTACCCTGATAGGATAGTTAGAAGAGAGTGTATCCATCTCCTGGTTACTGTTTTGTAAGTGCAGTCAATTAAACAGTGCTTTTAAACTTTGATTACATATTAGAATTAAAGAAACACACACAAAGTCATTCTATCCAAATTCAGTTGGAGATTCTCATTGATTTGATGTATAATCCTAGATCAGAATTTTTTCTTAATTTAAGATACTTAGGCTCTGAATGTGCAGCCAGGGTGAAACTACTGTCCTGGAATTTGTTGCCGTGTTTTCTGGAAGAATCCCATCCAAAAAGGTTGAAAAGTGAGAACTGTTGAGTCCATTTGAAATTCGTGGCATGGATTTGTATTATCCCTTATTTTAAAATCCTGGGATCCATTTTCTTGGTACTAACTTTTCTTTCTCTCTTCCTCATCAGGGAGCCCCAAGAACATCTAATAGAAGCTGTGCAATTATGTGAACTCAAGTCATCTCTCCTCCTCAAAGAAATATGGTCATCCTTACCTACATACAGTGCAGAGCCTTCTTGAAGCACAGAATATTTTTATATTTCCTTTATGTGAATTTTTAAGCTGCGAATCTGATGGCCTTAATTTCCTTTTTTTGACACTGAAAGTTTTGTAAACGAAATCATATCCATACATTTTTTTGCAAGATGTGAATTATTGACACTGAACTAACTGTACTGTTGTTTGGAAAGGGTCCCTCAAAAATTTTGACTTTTTTTTTTTGTATGTGTGTTTGTTCTTTCAATTTCTTACGGTGGGGAGGGAGGAATAAATAAAAACCACTGTGTGTCTGGGTTAATTTGAAGATTGCTCTATCTAGGTTAGCAATCTGCTCTTGATTGTTCTCTGCTATATATAACGGTGCTGTGAGGGCGGGGGAAGCATTTTTCAATATATTGAACTTTTGTACTGAATTTTTGTAATAAGCAATCAAGGTTACTTTTGTTTTGTTTTGTTTTTTAAAATAGAAAAGATAAATTTTGTAAGCAGGCAATATTAACCTAATCATCATGTAAGCACTCTGGATGAAGGATTCTGCAAAACTTTGTTTTATGGTTATTTCTCTTAGATTCTTAATTCATGACGGGAACAAAGGGAGGGCAGTGAGGTGGGAGGGAAGGGCATCTCTATTAAAATGCTTTAGTTGTGGGTTTTTTTAAGATAGTGTAACTTGCTTATTTCTTATGTGACATTAACAAATAAAAGCTCTTTTAATATTAATCTACTGTCAATTTTTTTAACCATTAAAAAAAATAAAAGCAGGGTTATTGTTATGTGCCATCCAGTCGATTCTGACCCTTAGTGATCCTGTGTATATATAGGGTTTCCAAGGCACAGCTGGTGTGCTTGAACTGCCAACCTTGCAGTTCAAACTGACTTTGCAGTCCAGCACATTAACCCACAGCACCACACACAGGATTAGAGGAGTAGAAAAGTATTATTTCAATTCTTTGTTTTTGATTAATAACTTTGCCTCCTTTTTGAACTTAATTTTTCATGGAGGCTTTGACCATATGAATGATAAATGGACAAATAAATAGTGTTAAGAGCTTTTTTTTTTTTTTTTTAAAGTGCTATATTGTCATTGTGTGGCACTGTGGGTTAATGCGCCAGACTGCAAAGCCGTTTGAACTGCAAGGTCGGTGGTTCAAGCTCACCAGCTGCTCCTTGGAAACCCTATACAGGGTCGCTATGGGTCGGAACTGACTCGATGGGACTTAGCAACAACAATACTGTCATTAAAGGACTCCTGTTGTGGAGCTGTAGGATCAGCATTGGATGGAACCACAAGGTCGGCAGTTCAAACTCACCAGCTACTCAGAAACCCTATACAGGGCAGATATGAGTGACTAGACTACTTTAACAACAATTGTCATTAAGAGTAATGGCAATAATAATAACAACAGTAATAGCTAATATTTATAGAGCTGTGTGTTGTGCTCCTGTGCTTAACACTTTTTAAGCTGTAATTATGCCTTTCAAAATCTTAAATTGGAAAGCAAAATGGAAACCTAGAGACAGTGCGAGAGGAGACAATGAGGAAGACACTTCTTTTAAAGGAAAAAATGGAGACAATATGTCTGGAATCTAGTATTACTGTCTCATAATAGGGAATTGGAAATAAATTGATGAAAAGCCACCTTTTAGAGGATTAATGCTCGAATAAAATGAAATAGTGTAGTTTTTAATGTATGGTGATAATTAGGTGGTGGTGGAGAATTTTTGACTTGCGATTACTTAAGCTGAGTGAGTTCATCTTGTAAAAAGTAGATATCGGAGCCATAGCTAAGATGAACAGATGATAATATTTCAGAAGCTAACCCAGAGTCAGTGTTTGCTTTTCTCATAAAATATTCCTGCAGTAAGCTGTGCAGACTTCCAGCTTTCACCTGGAAATAACTCACAAAGCCCTAGAATTACTGTACTCCGCAGATTTACTGCATACTTTGGTGTTGTTGCAGACACAAGATAAATACTAGGTTAGAAATTCTGTCTGATGAAGCAGATAAAATGAAAACTTCTCCACACAGATTTATCTTCAGAATGAGAATGCAATACAGTGTTTGGCCAAAATTAGTTGTGAAACATTTTGCCACAAGGTGGGGTTCTTGCCATCAAAATACACTCTAGGCACTTTATTGCTAGATAAATTGGGTAGTAAAATTTAATGCTTTAATTGGTGTTAAGAATATTGACAGCTGCAATACAGTAGAATAGTATATATTCTGGTGCGATAGTAAAATTCTAGGGCTAACATTACATAGTTTCGTGTCCCCCTGAATGTATGGCTGTAGATTGACCCTAATTAAACAGATTGTAGAATAAATTACGGTTTTTCAGAAATTGTGTTAAGCGCTTTACCGTAGAACATTTAGAGTGCCAGAGACCACTGTGTAGCATTTACTATTCATTCTGAAATGTCATTGAATTCCTGTTAATGTATCTGTATCAATGGGAGATAGGGATAGCAATACCTTTCTGAATTATCTACATTTGTTGTAACAAGTATGAGTTCATTTCCTCCTGTGTTTTGTCTTTCATATTGTGGTTCCACTACCGTGTTTAGGTATGTTGTTGTTGTTAAGTGCGGTTGAGTCGGTTCCGACCCATAGCAACCCTGTACAGGGTTTCCGAGGGTGTAAATCTTCACGGGAGTAGAAAGCCTCATCTTTCTCCCGCGGAGCGGCTGGTAGTTTCAAACCGCTGACCTTAAGGTTCGCAGCCCGATTCGTAACCACTACGCTACCAGAGCTCCTGTGTTTAGGTATAGATGCGTTCTTTTTATTATTACTATTTTTTTTTTTATTAGTTTTACATTCATTCTATCATACATCATTACATTGCCATAGTTACCATCCCGTCCATGCATCATCACCCAACCAAAGGGTATACACTGCAAGCCTGCCCCCCACCCCCAGTCTTCAGCACACAGCCCCTTTCCCTCTCTGGATCTCAAGTCTCCAGCCATTCCATCTCTTCATGTCATCTCTGCCTCCATCTCAGACCTCACTGCTTCTCTGGGTAGGGTCTCGCTCTCTGCTCTTCTCCATTGATGGTCCCAGGGCCCTCTGCTCCTAGACTGAAAAGTTAATCACTCCCCTCCTTGCTACAAAATGTCCACCTTTACATATCCAACCCTCACAGTCAGTCCTGATAACAATTATTCACTATTGCATCACAAGAGACCCATCCGCATTTCATTTCATCAGCCCTTCCTAGACAGGCTGGATACTATTCACAGACTCTACCTTCCTCCACGTCCTTTGGATCTAGGTTCTCTCTTGAAAGCTAGTAAGCCAGTTACTTCTTTTTATCCCTCCCCCCATTTTGGGTAGCCAATGTCCAAGTTGCCCATCCCTGTCTACTCTGTAGAGTGGGAATCTTGCAGCAAGGATTTGTTTCCTCTTTTCAACTACTGCATTTATAGGTGTAGGTCAAGTTTATCAAATTGTATCAGATGACACTTTTTTCCTCTTCTTTCTTCTTCGGGTTCAGCTCTGTTCATCCAATCATTGAACCCAGGTCAAGTGGGTATCATCTGCAAGTGTGGGTGTTCTTGCGTCTGTCCGCCCTCTTATCAGCTGGCCGCTTTGCTCTCCACTCTAGTCTTCTGTGGCTGTGTCATTGAGTCCATGAGTCCCCCAGGTCTTGCCACGCTACTGGCCGACCAGGTCTTCACCCGGGTTCACAGTAGTCTGCTGAAGGATGTAGGGCTTAGCTGGACACTTCATTGATGTTCTTCCCTCACTTCCCCTTACGGGTGGCTTGCGTGATTGCCAATCATAGCGTGTATTCCCATTGCGTCTTAGTCTTGGAAGAGGATTTGCACTGAGGGGACCCGGCCACTTGCCTTGATGTCCCCTGGGCAAGCAACTTGCTTGTTCTTGTAGTAACTGTCAGACTGCCCTTATTGTTTTGTATTTTTCCTGTAGGTCTTTCTTTCAAGAAGTATCTCCTGGTTTTCTAGCTGCTCCAGGCTGGTCTGTTCGTCCTTTCAAGAGGAAAATTTCCCATCTCAAGATCTGGATGTGGTTCAGGCTATAGTCTTAAGTAATGCAGAGGCTCCTCAGGAAACCTCCTTAACTGGACACATTGTATTCCCATTTTAGGTATTCTAATCAGTTATAGGCAGAAGACAGACTTACAGGCTTTCTATGGTGATATTTCTGGCTATTCCTTTCTCTCCCCCTCCAGTGTCTGTTTTATAATATAATGCACGGAAAACCAAGGCTCAAAAGACAGTCAAGTGTCTTAACATTATTCCCTTCTTTTCCCCATTCCAGCCCTGTCTCAATCTCTGTATCTCAGAGTCCTGTTGTTCTGAGGCTGTGCCTACATCATTTTTTACCTCTGTCCCATTTAACCCATTCATACCAGTCAAATTGATCTCCCATCTGCTTTGTTCTTCCATTCCTCTCTCCCTACTTGTATATTGCCCCTCTCCCCAACACCCAAACTACCCTATGTCTATTCCCTGCCCTGTGCTCCACCATTCCCTCCCACCCCTAACCCTGTTCCTATGTCCCAGCAACCAGCTAAGAATCCACTTTAGTGGATTAGTATGGGTTCTTTTTCTTAGTCTTTTACAGTAGTGGTCCTATGCAGTATTTTTCCTTTTGTGACTGACTAATTTCACTCAACATAATGTCCTTAAGGTTCATCCATGTTAGGTAGTGGCATGCAGCTTCCTTGATATTTTTCAAGGTAGCATAATACTCCATTGTATATATGTACCACAGCTTGTTTATCCATTCTTCAGTTGATGGGCACTTTGGCTGACTCCATCTTTTTGCTATTGTAAATAGTGCAGCTGTGAACATTGGTGTGCATATATCTTCCCGTGTTGTGGCTCGTTTGTCTTGTTGGTAAATACCAACTAGAGGAATTGCTGGATTGGATGGTGTTTCTATTTTCAACTTTCCGAGGAAGTTCCATATTGCTTTCCAGCTTTTTTATTATTATTATTCAGTTCCCAGTGTTCCCCACTAAAGATTCTGGATGTTTTTATTATCTCACCACTGTTTTGTTCTTCTGTAATTTTCTTTAGACCTATGTTGAACCTACACTTTTTCATATACATATATATATATAATTTTTGTTTCTTAATTTCTGGGTGGTTTCTCTGAAACTTCTTTGTATTTATCTCTCTAATTTTGCTCTCAGCCCTATTTAATCTGGGGTTTATCCCATCCCTTGAGTTTCTAATTTCATTGACTACTTTTCATTTCTGAAGTTGTCTTTGACTTCTCTTTTCAAGTTTGCCCGTTTCATGTTTGTTTGGTTTTTTTTCTCTCTCCATATTTAAAAGTGTTTCCTTACGGTTTCTGTGCTTCCTTTAAAAAACAATTTAGTCACTTACTTTCTACTTTCTATTTTTTTGAGTTCTTGGAGAGCTAATATTAGCTGCATCTGTTGACTCTTCCTAATGGTGGTTTACTTCCTCATGGGGATTTTAGGCTTGTGAACTCATCTTCAGCAAGGGCTGTTTGTTCTGTCAAGTGTACTGTGTCCCAGGTTTTGCTGATAGAGCTACAGAGGAATTTAAGGTTGTCTGTGCCAGGGCCCCAAATGATGCTAGTCATTTGGGACCATTTCCCCCCCTTATCTTGTGATTGTGTAAATCTTGTGTAGGGGTGTTCTCCATTTTGCCATTGTAACTTCCACATGCGACTCCAAAGCCCTGACAGAAGTCTGTTTGGGCCTGGCAGGCAGTATTCT